CTGGGGTTCTCCATGCATATCTTCTTTCTGGGTAGACTTTGGTCTCTCTCAATCTACAACACAGCAGGAACCCAGATTTTGAGCTAGGAGTGACTTCCCAGGATGTCTAGTTCAAACTTATCCTTTTAAAATGAGGGTAATAATCACACCTCCCTCCCATGATTGTTGTGAGGATCAAACAAGATAATACTTGTAAAGCACTTAGTGCCTGGCACAGAGTAAGCCCTATATTCTTCTTATTATTAATGGAGAGTGACTTGCCCAAGATTACACAGCTAAGAAGGGGTAGAGTCCAGATTTGAACCTAGGGCCTTGAACTTCACATACCAGTGCCTTTTCTGCTATACTTCTGGCTTCAGAGCCCTCATGTAAGAGAGACCTAGGAACTAGTTCTTATTCTGTCATCAACTCAATGTGTTCCCTTGACAAAGTCATTTGCCTTCCCTGAGCCTCAATTTCTTCGCCTGTAAATTGAGCTAGACGGCCTCTCAGTTCCCTTCCAACTCCCAATCTCTGTGGCCACATGGTCCCCCAGGAGTCTGCCTGTGCTGATATTCTGGTTTGTAAGCTCCATGAGCGCAAGAACCATGCCTTATCTAAACTTTATGCCTCCTCTAGTACCTAAATGTGCACACGGCAGGTTGTATTGAATAAGATTGTCTGACATTTCCCGGCCAAGCCAGCACAGTAAAAGGCTCTTTTCTCCCTGCTGGGTTAGCTTACTGGCTTCATCTTTGGTACACGGGTTTTCCATGTCCTCATCTCCTACTGGGCTGGGCTCCTCACCAGCCCCTACACACTAGGTGTACTTCTGCTTACAAGAGGTTCACGTCTCAGTGCCAGATTTTCCCCTCTTTGGCCATTTGCCCTCCCCCCCCACCACCACCTTGCAGTTCGTTCACCCCCTTCAGTCTCCAGCTTCTGGGTCTTCCATAGCCTCTGCTTCAGTGGGAAGCTAGGAAGCCAGGCCTCACTCATTCAGAAGGAATAAGGCCAGGCAGGCTCACTTGTGTGGTCTGGGGCGGAGAGTGAGGGGGAGAGAACCCCTGAGGTGGGCTGGAGTAAAGGCTGAAAGGAAGGGGCCCAGTTCCCAGCCTTCTTTCAAACTGAGCCCTGAAGGACAAGGAGGATGGGATGGGGATAAGGATAGGGATGGAGACAGGGATGGGAATGGGGACGGAGACAGAAATAGGAAAACCCGAGCCTGTGTTGTGCTATGGACAATGAGGACTTTGATTTTGGACAAAATCAAAACTAAGAATGGAAATGTTTCTGCCTGAGCAAGGCTCTCTGCTTTCTGAAGAGGTTTCATATCATCTCATTTGATGTTCTGGGAGGGAGAGGGGACTACTTTTATTCTTCTTATTTTATAAGTGAGGAAACTAAGGCCTAGATAGGTGAGGTGACTTGTCCAGGGTCACACGACTGAAAGTCATGGCCTGGCAAGGAACATGGCTAATCTGTGTGCCTTTTTTACTGCTTCAAACATTTTTATTTTACTAGAGGGAAAGTAGATAAGCCAGATGAGTAGAGAAACTGCCTCAGTTTCCTCGATGCAGCCTGGACTGGACCTCAGGTGTCAAGATCCTCAGGCTAGTGTTCTTTTGTGTCACTTACATTGGAGTGGGGGGGTGACATTTTAAAAGGCCCCTCACCATATATGTCTACCAACCAGCCTTAATTTACCTGAGATCTAACCTTGACCCACCTAGTCACTATTTCCTCCAAGCCTCTGCCCACGCCATCCACCATTCTCCTGCCTAGAATCTCTTCCCTCTGCTTTCCACTCATCTCCCTCATCTCTCCACCCCATCCCCAGCGTCCCTGAGCCAAGGCTGGGCAGAAAGGAAGCTCTCCAGAGAGACTAGATGAATTGAGCAATCGTCATTGATCTCCTCTTTGAAGTGAGAACAGGTTGGGACACTCAGGTTCTCATCCAGCCTGACTCTGCCACGAACTTGCCATGTGGCCTTCAATTCAATGGCTCAAGCATCTATTAAACACCTGCTGTGTGCTGGGCACTGTGCTTGCTTCTCCAGATACAAAGACAACAAAAGAGACAGCCCCTGTCCTCAAGGAGCTTACATTCTACTGGGGGAATGTAACATATCCATAGATATGTCAAATCGAAATACGTAAATAGGAATTTCAAGAGGCATCAAATATTAATCATGGTGGGAGGAGGCAGGAAAAGCCTCCTGTAGGAGCTGAAGGCAGGGATTTTACAGGATGGAGGTGAGAGCATTTCAAACAAGGGGTACCGTGTATGCAAAGTCACGGAGGTAGGAAATGTAATGTGTATAGTATAAAAACCAAGCAGGTCAGTTTGGCTATAACAGAGAGTGTGTGATCTTGAGCGAGTCACCTTCTTTTTCTGGGTCTCAGTTTCCTTCCCTGTAAATGAAGGGATTAGACTAAGTGGTCTTGTAGTCCCCTTAATGTATCTCGCCTATGTTCTCTGGTCTTGGAGTCTCCTTGATGCGCTGGTGTTCTCTGGTTCTGTGACTCAAAGTGGGCTGGAGAGAATAGAAGCAGCCCTGGGGGGAGCTAGAATTGCAGCCCAGACAAAGGCGTGGGTCCAGGGGGTGGAAGGCTGTTGAGCAATGCCCTGGTGTGGGCAGACAGAGTACCACTACTCTTCGGCAAAAATCACCTCCCCCAGAGCTGCCAAGCTCGGCTGACGGCCCACCAGCTGGAAATGTTTTTCCTACCCTACAAGCCTGTCTGCAGCTGCAGCCTGGGCCTCAGAACAAACCCTGCTCTGTCCGGCCGCCTGTTGGGAGAGAGGGAAAGAGGGAGGGAGGAAGAGAGGGAGGGGAGACCAGAAAGGGTGTGTTTGTCTCTCATCTTCATTTCACAGGAATCCAGGAGTGATGGGTGATGGGTGCCTCAGGCAGCCAAGGAGAGGAGGGTGATCATAACCCAGGCTGGAGCAACCTGGGAGCTCAGAAAGTCACACAATGGGAGAATTCAAAGAGAACTTAGTGAGCCAACCCACTCATTTTACAGATGAAGAAACTGAGGCCAAGAGAGGGGAAGGGATATATCCGAGGTGGCAAGTCAGTGGCAGAGCTAGGACTAAATCCCAGGCCTTCCAATCCCCAGTGCCCTATGGTGAACTCAGGTCAGGGAGCGGAGGGCAGGATTCTGAAGGGAGCAGGGAGGGGGCAGGATCCCTGGGGTTTCATGAGTGAAAGAGAGCTGTGTTGGGGCATGAAGATGAATCTCACCTCCTTTGGGCTTCTGCCCATTGGGCTGCTTCCCCAGAAAGGCCAGCCCTCTGATGGATTGCCCTGCCCTCCTCTGGCCCTTAAACTACCTAGCTCGAAGTCCTGGCAAGCCAGGCCCCTTGCCCCCAAGCCTCAACACTCTGGAGCCCAGAACTAAGAGTCAGAGAATCAGGGAAACTTCAAATTGCCCTGGAGTGACAGGCCGATCGAGAAAAGCCCTCAGAGGCTGAGTCTGACCTCCCCATTTTACAGAGAGGGAAACAGAGGCCCAGTGGGGGAAGTGACTTACCAAAAGTCATAGCAAGTTGGCAGCGAAGCCAGGGTGGGCTCTGGATACTCAATGTTGGGCTCTTCCAAAGAAAGACTCTGGGTCAAAGGCAACCATCTTCTTTAGCTTTTAGAGTAATCGCTGGTCCTTTGGGTCAGGAAGGTGCTGACTGAGCTTAACACGTCACCTAACCCTAACCCCTTCATTATGCCTATGAAGAAACTGAGAGTCAGTGAATTCAGTGAGTTGCCCAAAGTCACATGGGGAGTAAGTGTTAGAACCGGGATTCTAATTCAGATCCTTCAACTCCAACACCTAGCATTCTACCTTATACTACCCTCCTTCTAATATATAACATGGACAAGTTCCGGATGAACATGCATATTCTTCATTTTCCTGAAAGTCACCTCAATCCCATCTTTGTGATCGATCCCAAGATTCTGCAATTCAGGCCCCCACTGGCTCCCCAAAGTGCTCCTGGAAAGCCTCTGGGTCCTTTATTTTGACTCAATCTTTCTGGGTCTTCAAGTCTGCCCTCTGTTCAGTGTCACCAGTCTCCCCTTCAGCCCGGAAGGCTTAGCCATTCCTTCTCCCATGCCCATTGGTGGGCAGCAAACCTGACTCCATTTCCGTGCCCCTGGCTCTTTGTTTCAAAAAAGGATCCCTCCCCTCCTTCACAAGTACCCTCAAACTGGGCCATTCCTAACCCACTACACATGGGACTTTTCAAAGCCTGGGTGGGTAGAAGCTGCCGACATCACCCCCAAACACGTCATAGCCCCCCCACCCCCCACTGTGACCGAAGCCAACTCTTCCTAGTGAGTCAGCCTGTAACTACCGTGTGTTTCAAGCATGTGGAATGGGTCCAGGGAGGCCCTCCTCCTGTCTCCCCAGGCCTGACCAGGGGATGAGTAGCTAATTAGGAAAACATTTCAATTGCCTAATTAAGCTGTATCCTGCCTTTGGAAGGGATGCTGGAGGAGTGTATCTGAGAGGGCTGCCTGCTTCCTGCCTCCCAGGTCTGCTTTCAAGGCCTGGGGTTTTTTTACCTCTCTGGATTCCTTCCGCATCAGTCCAGCCTCCATTTGGAGGACAGAGTCAAACCCCGGGACAGAGACAGCAAAGTATAACGGATTGGGACTTAGAGTCAGAGATCCCAGGTTTGAATTCCAGCTCTCCTACTGTGTCATCTCAGGCAAATCCCTTCCCTTCCCTGGGCCTCAGGTTCCCCCTCTGTAAAAACGAGGGGGCTGGCCTCTAAGGTCCCTTCCTGCTGCTCTAGAGCTAACATCGTATATGTGACCTTGGCCAAGTCACTTCCTCTCCCCAGCTCTCTTCCCCCCTACCTCTGTATGTGCATTCCCTTAACATGGACTCTCTCCCTCTCTCTCTCTCTCTCTCTCTCTCTCTCTCTCTCTCTCTCTCTCTCTCTCTCTCTCTC